ACACGGAGGGAGTACAAATAGAGACGTGGAATCGACAGATCTCAATGTGGTGAAGAATTTCTACGTCTCAGATTCAAAATTGGTGATAAATTGGCGACGAAATAGATCTTTAACCTAGTGGTGTTTTACATAGGCGGGTGAAAATTTGGCCATAGGGGTGGCCGCTGAAATGCATCTTGATGTTTGTATGTGACTGGTATCCGTAGGTAGTATCCGGAATGTTCCCGCAGCTTTAACCTACCTCCTGAGGAATAAAACGCATGAAATCAGGGTTTAACGTATGAACGATTAAGGTTTAACTACAATTTTAGTACGTTAAACAATAAAACCTGCAGTCGTGGATTTGGCCAGTTGGAAGGTTTTAGTTGACGTGCACCATACAATTCATTTTTTGGCATGAGAAAAATGAAGAATTCATTTTTACCGAAATTTCATCGGCAAACACCTTTTAGGTTAAGCGAACCTTGTAGGGAAAACCAGCCAGAAATTCCACTGGCGTCCAATGAAAATGAATCAAACCATATGATCTATAAAGTTTCCTCTAACTACATGGAATTACTAAAAAGAATGGTACAATAATACGTGGCCACAATGAGATACAGTACTGTGAAAAGTAGGGAAGCCCTCAGGAGAATCGAATGTCTTAGGAGAATCGATTAAAGAACCCCATGAGCCAATCAAATCACATCATGTCGAATTTGTGCCAATCCAAACATTTGACCCCACCGCATTAGGCAAAACCAATATATACTAATCTTTGTATACATGTAGTATAGCGTGTACAAGATTAAATAGGATCAAATAGGTTCGAAAGGATATTCGACCCTTTGTGCAAGTGTTTGAGCAACCCCTGAAACATGATATTTATCGAGTTTTGACGGTACTTTTGGTTTTGAGGTCATGGACTCCGACACGATGGAGTCAAAGGCGCAGCAAGATGCTCACTCAGCATTGATCCAGCGTCGTGGTCAACCACAGCGCACGAACGACCAATGAAACCAGGTACGCCACCCATGACATCGCGAAAGGCCATTATCAATGAACCATTGCCAAGCAGTAGCGCAGTCACACGCGAAGGGACCGATGGCATGACAGACCTGAACGACACAACCACGGCAATGCAACCAGGTACTCCACCCTCTGCATCACGATAGATCACTCTCAAAGAACCATAGCCTACGACGTTCGAATGCTGTGTGCGAAGGCCCGAGACCAAGGCCGAGATGAACGACAAGGTCACAATGGTAGGAGTCAATTCTGCTAATACATGCTGCTATACCACCCGTTGCACTGTGCAGGACACGTCGAGAGTCCAACAGGAAGGCCGTCGAAACACCGTGCGTGCGTCACACATTTGTTTTTGTACGATAACTCACGGCGGCACAGAGGACGTGGAAAAGGACCGATACAACGTGAGGTAGCTCATTTCGTCCATGCGCCGCGCTTCCCATTCGTCGTTGCTTGTAGGGATACTCATAGACACGGCAAATTTTTTGTAGCACGCCAGGAATTCGGCAGAGCTGTCGTTTGGGTCGAGTTGGGAGATAATGTACGCCGTTTTGTCGGAATGCTTGACGAGTGCATTGATAATTCTCTTGGCTTTCGAGAAATTCGACACATCACTTGAGTTTGATAGATCTCGTGACTTGACAAACCTGAGAGGCGGTATATGGTCGGAGGGTACTCCACGCCACCACACCATCCAAAACTCGGACAATTTACATTTTGGGAACCGAAATTGAGTGGGAAATCCACGACTGAACTCCGGTGTGGAGGAGGCATCTATCGTCGTACTTGACTCGGCAGGGACCATGGGATCGACGCTCAATTCGGGCTGTTGCAAATCACGGAGAATGCTCTCACGGAGCTGAGAGAGCCCTTGATGGAATGCACCGGTTATCAGCTGAGAGCTTCCACTCATTCCACCCTGTGCGAGGAGCTCACCGGCCACAATCGCAGGCATTTCGTCCAATTTCTGCTGTATGGTCGAGCCCATCATTTTGACTTCGTTGTCCAGCGTCTGAATTTTGTTGGATTGGGCAACATGGGGGGGGGATTCCGGTGGTCATCATTTTCGACACAGGATTGCACATGACACCAAGCAACACCTCGTCAGGCAGGTCGACCAGCAGACCTGACAGAAGAGGATGAGAGGGGCTGAGGTGTTGTTTCAGCCAAACACGATGATGAACCAATGATGCCAAAAGAAAGGGCATGGTTGTACGAAACGTTGGCGGATAATGGCTGTCATAGCCGGGCACGATACATTTCCATTACTCCACACTCAACACCGGACCATGGAAGTGAGGGGGCAGTGTAGCAAACGAAGCAACATTGACGTTGAGACCTACATATAACTGAAATGATCGTTATCAATCCTGTAGCATATAGAGGAGTGGAATACACCTGCAGATGCTCTTCTTACAAATTGATCACCACCCGAGCCAGCGAAAATGTATCGACCCTGGCTCCACCCAGGCTCCATCCAGCGCGGAGCCAAACCGACACTGCCTGAGGACCGCCTGGCGTATTTGTCAGAGCAGTGGCCACACCTTTGCGCAGAGAATGCGTTCCAATCCCTGTGATGTTGAGCCCCATGGACAATATTGTGTCCTTGGAGGCGGAACAAATCACCGAGAGCCACTTTGCAAAGCGTTCTTTCGCATTGTGGCCAAACAACAGGACGGGGCCGTTCTCTTGCTGGACACATCATGTGAAAACCAAAATCGCCAAACTACACCAAACACTGTTGATTCTATGCAACTAATATATCTCCACCTCAAAATTGGACACACGTATGGCTGCAAGGGGTTGTCATATACATTTCGGGGGGCGCAGTATTTCCCCTCTTGGTCGTTTTTGAGTCGCCCAAATCGAATCACCAAGCAGTCACCTAAACGATGTTAAGGTCTTGACAAAAGAGGAGGTACTTACCTTCCCAAACAATGTGATTTAACATGATCGACGATGCCGAGACAGACCGACTCATCGTGTTCCAACAAAAGACGAGAAAGCAATGAACAGATATGTTCAAGCCATGATCGTGTCCCATGTCCATAGCACATTGTGCCGGAAACTTGAACGCTATGTCACATGGCAATTTGTTTATGGTAATCAGTGACCGTCAATCCAAGTACACCTTACCATCGAGCGTGAAGTAATCTGGCGCTTGTATCCATTGGCAAAATCTACAACGATTACGTCACATACCCTGTAGCTCGTCGCTGAGGACGCGCCCTTCTTCTTTATAGAGATGCTTGATTGCGTTGGAAAATCCATTGATGGTGGAGACGAATTGTGCTTGCGAGGAGTTATTTCGCGTCCTTTGGAGTCGCGTTTGATGGATATGTATGCAAGGAACCTTTGGCACACAGCCTTTGTCACAGGGAGGGCCACCTTGCCTTTGATGAGTGATTCGGGGGAATAATGTTCGAGCCAACGGGAAAACCGCGCTAGAATTGACATGTACTGCTGGCGAGTAGACGGAACGCAAAGCAATTATATCATCACCACCTAGTTGTCCATCAGCGCAACTCGCTCCAATTGTTGGACCCATCGACGTTTGTTGCCGCTCTGAAGCGGTGTGAGCTCTCGAAACAGCAATCCGGATAGTGTACTTGCGCAAGAACCATATATCTATCCGTTTCACCTTTTGACATTCTGCAAGTTCTCAAAAGATATGTGTCAGAGGATATATTGCTTTTGCGCAAGATATACTTGCGCAATCCTGATGATTATGCGGATTTTACTTGCGCAAAAAACAACTACTGTATTTGGGCGACATAACTCTCAAGTCCAAATTTGGGTGAAATTCACAATAATACTTCATGGTTGTGGAATAATCACCGTAGAATTCGCATACCGTAATAGTGTATATGTATTGCGACAGGTGATACTATTTCACAACCGGCCGACACTCGTTCTCAAAATTTTGCTAATCCATTGCGTCGTACAAATTTGAAGTACAGTATATTCGACATATTCAAAGCAACCGAACACAGAGCTTTCACTACCATAGATTGTACTGTCGTTGCACTAATGGTACCGTTACACGGACAGTTGAGCGTTCAAAGTCAGTTTGTGTACCGTACTTCGTATGTTAAGAGAAGCCCCCACGTGTATAAATTTATACAAATTTAAAGAGGTTATCCACTGTATGCTGAAGTTCAAGTTGTGGATGTTAAGAGCGTCATACAAATTTCTAGATATCGATAATTTAGGCTTTTCGTGACATAATTATCTGATATTAGAGGTAGTGTTATGTATAGAGGTGAGTCTTTATAGAATTTAGGAGACCATACTGGCTATTTCATTGGTGCCACCAGCGACGTGCAAGTGGCGAGGTGCAAGTGCCGAGGGCCGAGGGCCATGGCCGCTCTGCACGCGACCAGTCAACAGCGGTATAGTACAAGCAACTTCATCATTGATTCATTCCTATAGTAGGTCCT